CTTATTCCACTGAGCCATGTCCCTGGCCCTGCCCATATTTTTTTTATATCATTTGTATTAACCCTTTCTCACTGATACCTATTAGTCTCAGGTTGTTCAACTTTGCATCGCTTTGCAGATGTTGAATTATTTTTTGCTGTATCCTAGTTGTTTTTAAAAGATCTTTTCTTGCCTTTTCACTAGATGTGACAATGTCTTCAAGATCTGAAACTCTTATCTTCACTTTCGTTCAGTTTTGCCAGCTTGTGTTTGAGATTTTAAGTTCCTCTATATCTCTTTGACTCTACTTCGTGTGATCTATTTCTGTCTTATATTGCTCATTCAAGGATTCCATCGTTTTTCTATTCTCCTCTAATTTTTTATCAGTATCTTCTTTAGAAGCAGTTAAATTTTTCATTATAGTTATCCTTTCCTTTTTTACTTCAGAGATTATTTATGATCTGATTTCCTCTGTGCCTTTCTGCCGATGTTTCTTTAGTTCAGACACTATTAACTCAGAGATTACTTTTTTTTGTTTCAGAGGTTATTTCTGATCTGATTTCCTCTCTACCTTTCTGCAGTCATTTCTTTACTTCAGATTCTATTAATTCAGAGATTTCAGCTGTGTGATGCCCAATTTCTTCAGTGCTAGTTTCTCCTGTATTTGTTCTCGGAGTGCTCGGTGTCTGAGGTTGCATTTTGCTCTTTCTCTTTGTCATTTTGTATGTCATTGTCCTCTGACCTTTGGTGTAGAGCTGTGGCGCAGTTATATTCTTAGCACCTACCGAATTTCTTACCCAAGAGCAATTATATGGTTAAGGCAGTTATAGTTTTGTATTTATAGGACTACAATTAGGAACACTGATATGGGTAGTTATATTTAGCAGTTGACCAACTTTTGTAACTAATGGGTTTGTATGTTAGACAGTATGAGCAGAGGTATGTCTGTATAGCTAAGCAGATATTAAATTGGGAATTTGTATTTAAGTTAGTTCCCCTAAGTTCTGTCTGATTACCTCCCCTTGATGTACCTGGGGTCTTTGAGGCAGACTAGTTCACTCCAGTTATCTTTTGCCCCCTCTCTTGGTCAAGAGAGAAAGAGGGAAGATGCTGTCATAGATCTGGGTCTAGCAAAGTGTCTCAACTTACTGGATCCAGATCGATGAAGTTTGAAGTCATCCCGATATATGTGGCTTGGGTGTGGCTGCTGCAGCCCATGGAAGTGAACCCACTGTGCCCCTCTGGCAAGATGTTCTGTTCCTGAATTACTTGTGTGGTTTTGACTCCTAGCCTCTCTGAGGGACTTCAGCTGGTGAGTTTCACCCCAGGCCTGTATGCTGGGCCTGGGCTGGGTCTGGAGTGGTCCAGAGAGCACAGTGGAAGGTCTCACTCACATACTGGGCCTGGGCTGAGTCTGGAGGGGTTGAACAGGCACACTTGCTGGGCCTGAGCTGTTTCTGGAGGGTTCTGATGGGCACAGCAGAGTGGAAGTTCTCCCACACACTTGCCGGGCCTGGATCGGGTCTGGAGGGGTCCTGAGAGGAGAGCGGAAGGACTCACTCACATGCAGGGCTTAGGCTGGTTCTGGAGGGGTCCAGTGGGTGCAGTAGAGCAGAAGCTCTCCCACATATGCTGGGCCTGGGCCAGGTCCCTGGATATATTTCTAAGGAAGAGAATTTTTCATGTTAAGCCATACTTTCATTGATACTCAAAAGTGCTGCAAGATCATTGTATCAGTACAGTTTGTAAGAGAGAATCTGAAGGATATCTTCCTATGTGTT